TTAGTGTATTTTTATATGCCTTTGTTTTACGATGCGATATATAGTACGCCCGCGATATACGAAAATATACGATATTCATTCGTCCATATTCGGACTTTTATACTTCGCGTACATTCGGTAGTTACGATACCTACCACTATTCCAATTATCACAAATATGTTTCACTAAAACCAAACCAAATATGGTTTTGACGACTGGATCCCGCTGAATCTCCGGTTTATAATAGTCTTCAGTTTTATGACAAGTGGTCTGATTCTGTACACAAAGATGATCCGTCTAATGGATAGGGCAACAGTGCAATCCATTCTTCTAAAACCAGGGATTTTCTGACTGTAAAGACTTCACTCTACTTGGGACTCGTAAGACTGTTTAACGTGCCTCTGTCAGGTGGTTTGATTTCTAACAGACCTCAAAGGGATATTCTGAAGGCCATACAAACATGTTGATCATCTGGTCCTTCAGTGGTGTTCGCAGTGGCGAAACAAATGAATTGAAACCTTCGTTTCGGACGATTATTGAATTCTGATGATCCACTCTCCGGCTGGCGAACAGGCGAAGATTTGAGTTTACGTTTACTGGAGTTGACGCTAGGGAGTCGTGTGCAGAAAAAACAAATGATCCTGAGGAATTGTGTCAGTGTAAATGTTTGCTCCTACGCACATAGACCGTCCTTCAAACTGGTTGCATCATTCCAGATTTCATCACCTATCGGAGCACCTTTTATGAAATTATTAATTATACCGCGGTAGAAATATGGGCTGCGGGACCAGCTCAGAAGCTGGAAACATTTTTTTGGATTACGAAATGCGCCGACTGGTGCACGCTATTGTCCTAGCGTTAACGAATGTAATGCCTATAAATGATATGGTTGAATTCGGTCAGATCAGGCATATAGAACTGTAGCGGTGACCCAAACCATTTCTGTCAATCAAATTTTCCTTATTAGACTAATCATAATTAGATCAAATAAAAAAAAGTTGTTAACTTACTGAGAGGGACTGCCTCACATGCACACAGATTTTTAAGTAGGTAAAACATTTGATTTTCAACCACACTAGAAAACAGACAAAAGACATCATATTTAAAACTGTGCATGCACAATCGGATGTTGCGTTCCCCGATAGACTTGCGGACAAAAAGACAACCGGTGACAGCGGTTGGGGAAAATCAATCTACAGGACGGACTAACCTCAATAAGTCGATGGGATTTCCACAACCAGCAACCTTTACATACGGGAAACAGCCCGGCAATAGGAAGGAACGGACCAGTAGCGATAGGTTTACCGCAACATACGCATTTGAGACAATTTAAATGAAAGTAGCGCCCGAGTGTTTCCAGAACCGTATCACCGACAGATAGCACGCGGTGACAACAATCGCACAATATTCTAAAGGAGACAGTAGAAAGACTGTATGTTAGGGTAAGCGAAATGTGTTCATTTTAAATACCATCAGTTATTTTAGCTGAAAACTTACGACAGAGGGGGGCGGCAAATGTCCAGTTGTTTGGGATTCACTTTGGGTGTTAAATGACACGAATAATTCCATTAAATTTATACTGAATGGAATGAAGGAACGAATAAGGAAAGGAGTATGTCATCAAGCTGGAAGTTGTGAACCCTTCTTAGCAAAATAGTCCTGAAACGATACTCTACAATAAGAAATTTATGTATTTGATTTAATTCATGTTATGCTTAAGAACTGACGTGAACAAAAGCAAGTAGGCAAGCGGAACGCACAAAAATCAAAGCCGAAAAATACGAACAGGATTCCTGGAGTGTTTTTAACACCTACATTGATCACACTCGTAGAACTTGATAGTTGTGGATACCACTTGCATATATTCGCTTAACAGGACGTCCTGTCTCAGAAGTGATTTATATAAGGATAGAAAGTTCAACTTTTGACATGATTCCTTCAGCTGTTACGGACATCATTGCCTTCATAACCACATCCGGCACAGTCTTTGGTTTATGGAAACATGTAATGCGAGTGTGCTGCTGAAAACAAAGTACGACATTGGTGGGCTATCAAATGAATGAACCAGGCTACTCTTTTATGGACCCTGAAGGCAGTATTTGCAAGAAAGAGTCGCACTGGTAGCCTGATGCAACTTGAATCCCAGTAAAATCAGGAGCGGAATGAAATATCATCAACTCAGGCTGACCAACACAAAACTGAGTCCATTTAAAAGCGAAACTGATGAGGGTAACTGCGAACAAGTGGTTCCCGTTCGTTGACCCTATGTCTATGTAGAACGTTTGATCAAAACATGGTTTAATGTCGAGGATATACAAATACAGTGCCCTGTATCAAGAGGGAAAGCTTTCAAATTTACCTGCATCACAGAATATAGACCGCCTCCCCCCAAGAGTGGTTTAATCATCGAGAATGAAAAGTATACTCTAGGTATGTATCAAACGTTATCGTGAATTACGGGTGTATTAGAATCGAACGGAAAAGGTTTTTTAAATAATGACTAATGAACTGACTAACTAACGACTGAATACCTTTACACCAATGCAGGGGCGCTCTCTGGATCATTACATTGAGCGATAACTAACGGAGAAGAGAACTATCCATGCAAGAAGACGACATGCGAAAGAAACACTGCGGGGTATTTCCCTAAACAATCGGTGGATTTATTGTTTACAAAACCTCTCTGAAACGATGAATGCCCAATCATCCCAAACATCTCACAATTGATTATGAGCATAAGTATTTCTAAATGAAGCAGTCTGACTCAGAGGGGATAACAAAGCAACACAAGTCGTTTTGCTTGAGCTCATCTCCTTGGCACAGAACAGAGTTGAGGCTTTAAGGGGCTTTGTGGAGTAAAAATCGAAATATTAAAGTTTCTAAGGCCTAAGATTCATTCCGTTCTGAAACCATTTTTATTCGGATACTTAGGTCAGAGCTTTGTATACAGAAACGTATTGTACATATGTTGAGTATCGCTTGGCTGAGCAATCTCTTATCGGCTTTACGTGACTTGTCATACTCACACCCATTTTATCAGTAATGAACTTTGGAATTAGCTCCAAACAGTCTGACTTTTACTCGATGTTTTATCTATTCTATTCGTTCTACGTGTCTGAGCTAGACAAAGTGCTATCGATCAGATGGTTTTGTTCATAAGTCATATACATGTTTTATGGTAAAATACAGAAATGCATCGGACTGCAAAATGTTTTGGTTCACTTAACTTTGAAATACTTCAATCAGCACTTCATAAGTGTCAAGAAAAATCCGACCTTCTTCAGGGAAATGGATAATGAGTAAGCAAGACTTTTTAAGATATATATGTTGAAGGTAAGTCCATCTCTCCAGGGACAATGTCAGTCTGAAACTCTGGAGGGATGAGTTACGCGCAGGCTGTGATGACAAGCAGCATAAGATTTAAAAATATACGGGATGATGCTTTAGTTTGGAAAATGCGCATCCGCTGTTGTAATTTTACTAAATTATCCACTTTTCACAGGAAGAACTTTTCACTACGACTTTCAGGATTTGTTCAATTAAGGATCAGGTCTGGTTGAGCCGAAAAAGTTCACGCACATTTACGATGAACAATCATTTGCAAATTAATTTGCTGCTGATGGGAGATTCGGCTGTTTTAGCTGAACCTCTTGTTTATTTTATCCTTCAATAGCATGTTCTGATGTTCAGGTATGAAATCCGATGGATGGGAATTTGCAGACTAGGTCCTTCAGATGTTTCCACAGAGGAGCGAATCTGGAGTTTCCAACAAACATATGGTAGTTCTGGAAGGCTGCACATACTTTATCGTTGTGTTGGAACAAAATTGTATTAACTGCAGTTCTGTCCAACAGGTGGATGAAAGTAGACTATTCAAGACTTGCCTCGTTTTGATGCAAATTATACCCGTATTATTAGTTACATGAATGTTGCTCAGGTGCGTCTTCAGGCACGTCGCCTTATTGTGAGGTTTTCCAATGCATTCGAAACCGGTTCATTCTGCAGATCTGAGGGGACAGAATTGAGGTTCATCAGTTACTTTATATGCTGCCTATTCAATGGTATTGGGAGGCTCTCATCCGTCCGCAGATATTCGTCCATTGCACGGCTGAATGTCCCGCAAGGGACACTTTATGCTTGTCTCACCCTCCTGATCCGTGGTGAAATGAATGACGCAAGTGGTCCAAGTTGAAGCAATACACAAGCAACTCTCATTTCGACCTCGTCTCCCCGCTGAAGCTATGAAATAACTTTCATAAATGAACTGGGCTTCCCGTAGGAAGAACACTCTTTAGAAACTGATAGTTACGTTATAGTTACACACTATGTAAACCTTATTTGGTTTTCAACACCATTTATGAGGCTGATAAGAATTCTAGATGGCCTTTCTTGGGGATCATCAGAGTCCCAGAGTTCCCATCAACCTCATTCCCAACTGGAAACACAAACCTCAAATTAACTTGGCGTTAATGAGAAGCTTAACTAGATTTCAGTTGAATCTTTCGTCTACTACATTGAGTTTTTAATTTTACTATATACGAAATGTAGTTGGGACCGTTTACACTTTTTTGGCATCATCAAACTTTTAACCATGTTGTCCGACATAATTTTGATCAAAGTCGATTTATTACGACCGTGTTGCGTACTGGGAAGGTGGCAGAGACCAATGAAGTCAATTGTTGTGTCTTAGTGACTGGCGATCATGAGCTGCGTCCGACATAAACAAGGCTTACGTATTAAAATATCGGTTTTCAGTGGAAGTAACTACAGCACCTGCCGCCGTAGTACTCCCCATTGTCTTCAGTCTACTTTCTTAGTAAAATATACATTCAATTAGCCTGATGAAAAAGGCACTCAGCGGATCAACTTTCCTAGTAGGGGCAATATTAAACAGCGTATACATTACAACAAAATTAGTTGATATCCTGACACTAACTAATAGATACCTGGTCCATTTACCTCAAAAGTGTAAAGATCTCTTCGCTGGGAACGCCACGTGTTCAAGAAGAATTTAATCACTTGAAATAAATAAAGATCACGGCGGTTGCTTGGATGATGTTTACGCATATAAAGCACGGAGTCTGGTTGACGGAAGACTACATGTTTTGGGATTTTTGAAGTGGAAAAGTGGTAAACAGTAGTACAGAGGTCTTGCACCACAGCGACTCAGAAAGATGAAGTTGGTATTCACGTGACTTAAGACAAGGAGAAGCACTTTCCTGTGGGCAAGTAATTTAAGGCTTTAGGGTAGCCAGCTGTGCAGGAGAGAGTGTGTGGATAAGCTAGATGGACAAATCACGTTTGACCCGCTCCACATATCTTGTTAAAAAATCAGACCAAAGATATAACAACCGTTTTGACCACCTAAAAACCGCGGTTGGCTTAACAGAATAGCTGCTTCAAAAGTAAAGTTGAGATATACGCTACACAGCAAACGTATGCAATATATTGGCAAAGTGGATATACAGAGGGATTAAATCGAAAGCGAAAAATCTTGGTTCTATAGAAGTACACTTAATGTGTGAATCTGTTTTGTGCACAAAATATGCCACAATACTCTTCCCATGCTCCAAGAAAAACTATGTTTAACACGGATTGGCTCTTAGCTTGATTTGAATCTAAAATTAATCATGCACCGTGCAAACACTTGAGTCAGGGACAAATGCTAATAATTTGGTCAGTGTACACAAATCGAAAAAAGACTGATGTCACGTTTCACACATGAACACTTGGGATATGCATTTTGAATTCAGTGGCTCAACAGTAGATTTTTTCATGACCCCCATCTCTTAGCTTTTCGTGGGCTCAGAGAGCCAACCTTAACTAAAACTGCGTATTGATATCAACAAGTCATCAACGGGTGAGCATATGAAGCAAATGAAGAGAAGTAGATTCATAAAGATAGGATATGCTTAATCCCAGAAACAGGCCATCACGCATTTTTCATAAGCTGAGTGAAGTAGGGTTGGTCGTTCGCTTCCTTGGTTCAAGTTTCTATCTCTTACTGCATAAATAGACAGCATCTGCAGCTATCGAGAATATTAATCAAAATCATTTCCTGAGCTAGATAGTACGACACCAGGAGCGGCCTAGTCTAACCACATCTTGCCTTTGTACACAACCTCTTCAGGTCCTGGTCCCCTATGTTTGCTGTTAAGCAGATCTGTAGCACTTGTAAACTGCTCTTTTTCATGCTCAGTATCATCTTTTTTTCCCATTATCAGTCACATCGCTGTACAAAAGTTTGTTTTACTGAAATACAACCGCTACCGCCCGCTGGTTGGCTCCAACGTGACTTTGAGACTTTTGCAGAGTGACTGTTGTTGTGACCGCTGGTTGGCTATATTTGACCGCTGCTAACACTAAACGTGAACCATCATTTCAGCTACAAACACTGGACTAATATATTCACACTTGTGGATTAATATTTCGATCACCGGAGATCTGGAATACCAGAAAGATAGAACTATTCTTGGAATACGGAACTACGGAATCTCCTATTTTGAACTGTGAGTCAAGATTTACTTGTATTTTTCTCCTTGTGACTTTGTATCTGGCTTACATCAGCAATTTGTTCTGTTCATTAGAAACCCCATAGGGCCGTTAACCACTACAGATCCCTCAAGAAGCTTATATAAACTTAGGAACAATCCTTGTCCACATTCAAACGGGAGAATTATCTGACAACTTCTAAACCAAAAGCTCACTTTGAATAGATTCACACTATGTAAAAGACTAAGTATAATATCAAAGAAAGACAAAGAGGTTATACGCTCCTCATGAAATGTGAACTCACATTTGTAGCCGGATGACTGTAAGTTACCAGTGAGGAATGACGGCCATGGGCTAGGTTCTCATGGGTGGTGCCTATCAGCCACCAACTGAAAAGCAAACAACTGGGTCAGTTCATGTTCCATTTTCCTAATTAACTTATCAACTACTTCAGTAGAAGTGAACTTAACAATTTCCATCAACTTTGTGTACGCTGCAACCATCTGCATCAAGTGCCATGTGTACGGCGCTGGACCAAACCACGTCAAGGTATTTTTTGTACAACCGTCAGCTGGGAATCGCCACTCCTGTTTGCACATTCTACACAGTAAATACGCATGTAAATCGACGCAGGCCCACTCGTGCGTACGTACAAGACGGAACTCAACAGGTTCAAGAACAATCAGGAGACCTCACTGCGTCTGCACACTTCACGCACATACTGCAACAGTAAACACCACCAATCTGTATAAACTACAGATTTGTGTCTAACGGTCAATGTTTTATCTTTGCGTCACCACAGTCCCACGGCATTGATGATAGAATCATTACTCTGACAATCATACATTCGATAAATCGTGCAGGTAATAACTAGGCGTTCGAGCCAGGAAGTTTACAAATTAGTTGATACGTGGTCATTTCAGGAAGTTTAGCTCTGCTGAATTGTTGTACTTCCGATTGATCCTGATATATGCGAAAATAGACGAAAGATATCACCATCACTTGTGAGCCATCATTTATCCACAGGCTCACAGCGGCCAGATTTTGTGACATGGATGAAAAAACCGTAGGTTTAGCCACATTGCATGTGTCGGCCAAATGACACCGTGAAAACTCACTGAAGGTAAGGCACTGGTTATGCGTAATATAGACAAGTGGCTTACGATGCAGGTAAACTCATCCTTCACAAGCAGCATTCGGCGGGTAATAAAACCCACAATGCCGACCAAAAGCTCAGGTGTTGTATATTTGTATGTGTACACAGGTAGACTTGGCGCTGCCGCAGTTGGTTGGTCGTCTTAGATTGGGATCGAGACACACGGGCAACGACAAAAGCCCTCTGCAGTTGTATGCTGACTGCAGACTGTTTTCGTGCAGCACTAACATGTAAACTGACCAAAGACATTTTGCCACATAGTGCCCCAAGACTGCGAGCCATTATTTAACCCGCGAATAGCTGTCGATCCTTTTGGAAGACCTACTTTGATTCAGGTCACGCGTTCGGCTGCTTCTCATTGCCCAAAGAGACATCCGAAAGCGAAACAACAGTCACCAAGCTGTTGGTCCTGAGGAACCAACTAGACTTGTTAAAAGACAGAGGTGAAATCCTCATTTCATATTTGTCTAACTTATTTGCCTACATATGTGCGAAATAGATCATAACAAGAAACTAGAGTAGGTCGACATTTCAGAAAAACAGTGGTCACAGATTATGGCAGTTGCAATGGAACTAGCATGACCTCCGTTGTAACCATAGTCGTTGTAGGATTATGCACTATTAGCAACTTAATCTACGTCTTCTTAAAAAAAGGTGCATCAATATGGGGCCCGAAAAGAGTGAGCCGGATTTCAGCTGGGAACTACGCCGACTTTAGACCTCATCAAGTGTCAGAGTACCAGTGTGTGTAAAGGCGTTACGCAGTCTTGACGTTCCCTGGTTTCAAGAGTGCGCTCAATTATGTCCGTTCGTTTCAGTTGGCCTGCCCAAACGAGTACGTCTCAGAAGTCACCAACAGAAAATATCAAATTTTAGCGTCGATGCTACACTGCCGTACAAATCTTAGCTATGAAAACCGAGAAGCAACACTGCGGAGATGCAGCAGAAGGCTTTGAATGTTACGCGCTGCTTATACTCATTTACGGGTGCTTGAGGGCTTATGCGGAGCTCTCTAAGAGCTTTACTAAATGCAGTTGTGCTCCATTATGGAGCAGATTTACTGTCCATTTGTGCCTGGAAAAAATGCAGATGCATTAAGCAAATTTAATCAAGCAGATATCGGCTATCACGATTTTCAGAACGTTTTTATTAGGTCAGGTCAACCGCAAGTATAGTCTGACAAACTGAAGGCCCATGAATTTCCCGCCGTGCTCTGTGCTGGGTTAAGCGTTTTGTATACTAGAAGCGCTATTCAAAAGCGAGTGATCTGAAGTCGTAGTCGGCTCTTTCTATCAGTGGTCTATTGTTTTTTTGGCTACATTTCTGTCTACATCAACGACTTAACCGTCATACTTGGCAGCCCATTTTTTCTGTTGAAAGATGACGTGGAGAGTGTGGCTCGCCCCAGTTTTGTCGATGCAAGCTTACATGACCGCTGTTGATAAACGTTCGACGATGTGAGGTGTCTCACTCAGAGCATCGAAATGTCAACACTTGGGCTCAAATGCGAATAACGTTTTGACATCAGGAATAGTGGGTCTGAAGTATGGAAGAGTATGAAGAGGAGAGTCATGTTCTAAGTCTTCTTGTGCTCAGGGTCCATTATCTTTATTTTTCCCCGTCATTCGTCCTGGTTAGCCCAGGTGATTATGTTCTAAAAGACTAATCTAACTGTTTGAGGTACTCCTTCCGAATACGTTGCCTGTGATAGAGTTGACACAGATGCTACCTACAAATTCTTTCCTCTTTGGTGATTCACATCGCCGTGCGCTTTGCCTGAGATAGGCTGGTGAGTCTACGATGGAAAAAAGAGACTCGAAAAACAAAAACAACACTTTGGAAGGGTTTTCTGCGAAAACTGGTAATATTTTTGAACGAGTCTGGGCACGAAGTCAAGCAACTAAAGGACTCAAAAGCCCTGCAGTTCCGGAGAAATTTGGACTTAAAATGAACCACCTTTCATAATTTTGCCAATTCTATGTCTACATGTCATGTGTGGACCAAATATCATAGGTTTAGGCCAAAATAAGGACGTTGTTCGCGTCCAGTGTTTCTTCGTCATATTGATCAAGTTAAATGTTCAAGCTCAATGTCTTGGCATCTGGGTGGTGATATCTGTTGCGAGATGCCGAACCAGAAAATGCTTGAATGCTTTAACAGTGTCGAGATAATATGTCCGCGCTAGTAGTTTGTTTCAGTCCGCCGTTAAAAGTACCAATTCTCAACTGGCGTGACGTATTCCATCCTTCCACCATACAGTGAACTTTTACTCGTGAGTCCTTGTGTATAACGAGTGCTAAAGGCAACGAGTGTACGAGCTGTAGGTAACTGTATTGTTTTACCCATCTGAAGACAAAGATAAAGTGCTCTCTGCGGCACCACCAATCTACCTGTAAGTGTTTCAGGTTTTGACATCGCTCGTATACTAACCCTCGCACCCCCGTAGCCTTCGCTTCCCGGGTCGTAAGGGAATCCCTTTATCCCGGCTTTAAACAGATTTCGTAGTGTTAAAGAATACCTCATGCAGTTAAATGGCTTGCTTAAGTCGAAAACACTACACGCTTGTCTGCTGATGTCCCCTGTTTGTCTTCAAAGGGACTAGATATTATAATCGCAGATATTTCTAGACATGTGCGAGCCACTATGGCTAGGTTGACTTTACCAAAGTCCTCACTTTAAAATACACAAAGATTCTTGTACAATAATGTTCAATTAGTAGAGCTCAACTGATCCTCCATGTTGGGTTTGAGACGGGTACAACGACTGGTTTTCTAAAACCTTGCGCTACTATGGCAACATATCATCAACCGTCTGACGTTTTGCCGCCAGGCACTTCAGCCAAATAGTAGCTGAGGGACCAGATCGCCCTTCTGTCTAGATGCGAGCGCCATGACGGTACTCCAGGCCGCGCACAACCACATTCCATCGTTTGTTGCGTGGTGTCATCTCGGTAGCCTCGCTTGTTGCATACGACAAGATGGGTAAGCGGAAACAGGCAACTCTTGACACTCCGTTCTTACATGCCGCGTATTCCTTCTTTTTACACTGTGAGCACAGTCTCTGCTTTTATCCCAGCTAGGACTTGCAGCTTTGTCCGCTTTACATCACACCTTGAGCGTGTGAGTAACGGCTCTAAACATCTGAAAATCAATTTTTATGACAGAATTTCTGTTTCTAATGTTTTTCACATTGAAACAAAAAGGAAACTATGTTGCTGCTGTTTGTATGCTGAGTACCTCTCGCAGCGATGTACGTCATCAGTCAGTTTTGCTATTGTTTCACTATCCTGATGCACTCTACTCTAAATGCACACCTCCCGTGATGTGAAGGCTGTCGCAACTAGACACGGTAGGATGATTACTGTGTTGCGCTATCCAAGAAAAGCACCTTTACTTGATTGATAGTCACCTCCTTGAAACTGTTGTGTAAGAATCCTTTGAAAGAGAACCAAAGTCAGTTTAGCTTTCGACTTGAAAGCCACGCACCCAAATGCGGTGTACCAGCTGCAGCAGCTTTGTCCACTGAGAATAAGGATACCGGAAAAATGAGAGAGACGCGCCGAACGCGATGGTCCAACCAACTCATTTGCGTCAAGTGTTCCTATTTGGTTTGGTATGGGATGAAGTAACAGCTACGTATTGAATGTGATGGCTTTGATGCAAGGCCGCCATTGGCTGTGGCACAGTTATATCGGCCAGTCAGTAATCACTGCGTTGTCTTCTCTCGCGTTTTACATCCGAGAAGACGAGATTTACAAAAGCGACTTAGTTGACTGGCGATGGATTTCAAGTCATGGACTGACCCCATACCGGTAGTGCTGGCATACGAAGCGCCTGGCCTAACCAGAGAAACCTGCGGGGAGTGATCAACCGATTTACTGATGGTGAGTGAAATTCCTCGGAAACCATCTGACGTAACTCAGCTTTAAATCAAATTCTCACCATGACCACAGAGTACTTTGGACCCTGATGGCCCAACACTGAGGGTCATTATAGGTCTTCCGAAGCGGACACACCACCGAACCGTACAGTAGGATAGATCGGACCGCCACATTGTAAACTAACAAAGAAAGTCAAGTTGATGTCATATTGCCGCCATAAATGTCGGGGATCGGTAAACACTGCCAAGGCCTCCCCATTACGTGAGGTGATTTCGGCTTTTGCCCGTAAGCAGGGAATTATGTTGCAGACCAGATGGACAAACTTATCCGTCGTGTCGATTGGCTCACCTGCAAGCGTGAGGTTTGCGTTTTTCCACGTGATCCAGCAGTGATCTACATCGTTCAAGTGCCACGTGCAGAAAGACTGTTTGGCTGATTCGAATCTGACCCTCCTGATGATGGTCAATCTCAGTAGGACAATATTAGAGCGTCTTTGAAGCCGTTGACACGTGACTGATGCTCTAGTGTGTTAGGATGGCATTTTACACCCTTTCTGAAAGTGAGATACATCCTCAAAGGGTTTTTTTCTATTGGTATTCCTTCCTTACCCCATATTATTGCAGTAA